ACTTTCATTAATTTTTATCTCAATAATAATGCAGGAAAAATGGATGGTTTCTCATTTCAATTTTTGACTCCTTTAATTTGGAAAAAAGAGACGGATTCAAAAAATATGGCATTTTTAAACATATACTTAATGGAAATTTCCATCGAGTGACTGTAAGATTGAAATTTTAAGGAATTATTCATTTGCGTCATTGGAAATTCAAGTTGTGATGAAAACATCAAAGACAACTAGAAATTTTAACTCAATTATTCCGTAAAAATGAATAAATATAGGGAAATTTCAGGTGAATGTACTCAGAAAATTTGAATTTATCGAAAACTCAGGGTAATTTGGTACAGACTGTACAGATTTTGATTAAAAATTCAAGGAAGGTGAAGAATTTTCGTCTTCTGCTGCTCAAAAATTTAAAATTCCGTTTCAAGGATTTTTTAAATCGATTTAATGAAATATATTCTTGAATTCATGGAACATTCAGGGTAATTTGGCAGTGGATATTCACCTTCTCATTGAGAATTCCAGAAAGTTAGAAAATTCAAAACAATATTACAATTTTAAACATTTCGTTTTAAAATTTCCGGAATACTTCTTAGAAATTTTCTTTCCAGTAAATCACGGAATTGCGCAATTAAAAATCCACAATTTGATCAGAAAATTAATGCAAACTATTCCTATTTGGAAATCCAGCGTAATTTCTGATTGAATAGGCATATTTTGACTCAAAATTAATTAATATTGAATCAAAACATGGCTATTCACTAGAAAACATGGCCCAAGTTGGACCATTCAATTCAATAACATTGCGAATGTTCTATGCTAAAAAGATCTATCGACATTTCCCCCTGACTCCGCCAACTCCCCCGATAATCCCCCAATTACCAAAGATGTTTCATTCACTTCAACTCGCTCTTTGCCCCTCCACAACTGCAATTCATCTCGAACTTAATTCTCCCCCGCAAAAATCTCCAGTTCTTACGTACAAATTCTTGTACATAACCCGTAAATTTAATCCCCGAAGCTTCTCCCGATCTGGAGCGAGCATCCGGTTAAACAAGTGGAAAATCGCGTATTTTCTTACTCCACATTTTTTTGTGGTCACAAACTCGGGGAAATTTCATTAAAATGAACGGTCCATTGTGGATGGATTTTCCGATGCTTTTCCCCCGGAAGAATGAGGAGAGAATTCAAGTAGATAAGGGACGAACAACTGCTCTGACCGCAGTCGTTTGACGGGACGAGAAAACTCCGATGAAAAAGAGTTTTAAAATGAGGGAGAAAATGCGACAAAAAGGCTATGGACAACTTCTCGCTATTATTGTCATATCCCTCGTCATTCTTCGTCTACTGTGTTGTGACTACCAGTTTCACCCCCTCAGGGGATTTTGAGAGTCTTGGGAAAACGATTCCGCGTTAGACGTAGCCGAGTTAACCGTCAGGGCGGTGCTTTTTGTTCTCTGACGAGGAGTTCGAGTCGACAGGGGCAAAAAAGTACCGTCTGATTTCATGCTTGCTTGCACCACTTTCAAGTGACTTTTTTTGTTTTATATTTTTTCTTATTTTCAATGTTAGGCATACAAAGGAGTTAAACAGCGGGCAAGTGCTTGACGGGCTTGGGCTCGACGGTCTGAATATTTTTTTGTTGAGATGAAAAAATATGCTAAATCGGAAAACAAATGTTTTGAGAGAAACGAGGGTTTTCGTTTTTTTTAAGGTTGGGGTTTATTCAGTCGGTCCAATTACATTTATTATTCGAGTGTTTTTGGGGTTGAATGACGATAACAGTTTGTCATGTTTTTGGGTGGTTTTTGAGGGGAATAATTGTGAATAGAGAAATATTTTGTGGAAATTAAAGAAAGAAAATTGGAAATGAAAATGTAAAATCCGCAAGCGCACTCCTAACCGTAAAAATATATTGTTGAATTTTTGAATAAACTGCAAATTTCATTCAATTGAGTTCTGAATATTCATATTTTAATGGAGATTTCAAATAATTTGGAGCATTCTCGTCTTTCTACTGGTTAAAAAATGTAAAATTCTATTGAATTTTCAGTGAAATTTTAAATTTTATTTTTTGCCCCCAAATAAAATTTAAAAAATGTGGCACTCATGCATTGTCTATTGAGATATTTTCGAAGTGAATAATTTTCGGAATAAATTTCCAAGGGAACAAAAAATACTCATTCATTCATTCATTGCAATCGATTGTCCTAACTCGTCCTCAATTATCATGAATAATCAATAGCAATCATTTTTACAATTTACAATTCACTTCAATGAAGAAAATTGAAAACAAAAATGTAAAATCTGCAAGTGGACTTCTAACGCGATTTTCTCAAACCGTAAAAATATATTGTTGAATTTTTGATTAACTGAAAAGTTAATGTAATGAATTTCTGAATATTTATATTTTAATGGAGAATTTAAATAGTTTGGAGCATTCTTGTCTTTCTACTGCTTAAAAAAATATAACATTCCACTGAATTTTTAGTGAAATTAAAGAAAAAATTTTTTCCCTAAATAAAATGAACAAAATTTTGTGAAAAAAAGTAAAGACGTCTTATCCCCATTTTATTTACTCTGAAAAAATTATTCACATACGAAGAATTTGTAACTGACTCCATTCACTTGAATCAAGAAAATTGGAAACGAAAATGTAAAGTCTGCAAGTGCACTCCCAACGCGATTTTCTCCGACCGTGAAAAACAAAAAAAAAAACTGGAGCGTTGATAGCGAAGAAACGCCTCGTGGGAATGTCGAGGGAGGGGTAGCCGCAGTGGGAAGCAATCGAGTGGAAAATTTCGAAGCTCGGTCAGACCGGTTTCCCCATTTTTTCCCCTTTCGGCTCTTCACCCGTGGGACCATCCCGCTTCCTTAATCCCAAGGAATTGGAAAAATGATTTCGCCCCATTTCAAGCGGTCTAACATTATTTGCAGGCCACTCACCATTTCCATATAAAAACTCGCCCCCCCCCCTTCGCCCCTCTAATTCGATTAAAAATTGTGAGCTGATTTGTGGGTAATGAAGACGTGAAATGCCTTGCGATAATTCGTTCTTACGGTTTCCTGTTAATTATCTAGAACATAAATCTGCGGCTGTAAATTAAACTGAAGTATCTCTCTCCGGGGTAAAAGAAACCTTTGAAGAAATCGAGGGAAAAAAAAATTCTCGGTATTTCTTTTTCTTAAACGAGATAAAAAAGAATCAACAACTTCCCGCAAACAATTAGAATTAATTAATTCAACGAATTTTCTAATTGGAATTCATTGAAAATTAAAATAATCATTACTTTTTAATTAATAATGAATTCTGCATTTCAAAGTTTTCCAAAAGCCCTCGGGTTGTGCCCTCGACCTAATTTACATCCCCTTCAAAATTTTTTCCTTTGTTGAGCATGAAAACAAGGACTCAACAAGTCGGAAAATCCGGGAATAAAAATCTGAAAAAAATTGTAGAAAGAGAAAAAAAAGCCAACGATGGAGTGAGGGAAAACACGAAGGAGAAGACGTGGAGCGCAAATTACTCGTAAAAGTGAAACGAGCCCCTCAGTATACAGGTCTGCAGGTTTTAACTGCCTGGTGAGTCTGGAGTAGTGGATGTATATACAACAAGAGAGAAGAGGGGAGTGGAATCATGTTAGAGGCTTCGCCCTCTGACCCTGCGATAATATCGTTACGCCTATCGGCTTTTCCACTCGCTTCGTTTCTTCGCATCGAAAAACCGTCTGCCCCGGTGTTTCGCTGTCGTCTTCTGGTTAACGATACGGTAACGACTCTTCTTTCTTTTTAGTTTCCCCTCGAAATTTCTCCTTTTATCTCATTACTCTTGATATTTTCCGGCCGGTGGGGGGAGAAAACTGTTATCGTAATCGACGAAATTTCGTGTAATCATCGGTGAAGATGTTCATGATTCGGGAGTGAATGGACGAAACTGAAAATTAGAGATTGGCAATTAAAAGTTGGTACAACACTTTTTGAATTTTCCGCTGAATGGAATTCCGTTAATTTCGATTGCCATCTATGATGATCTCATTATGTAAAGGGTTGTCCTCTCAAGGTTCGAAACATCATTCTGTTCTGGTGAAGCTCTTGATGTTCAATTAGTTTTCTGATCGCCTAAACAAACTATTGTTTGAAATTAAAATACTTTTCTTTGCTCGAGAATCTTTCATTTCGAACTCATGGTGTCTCATTTTTTCTTAACCCTTCATTCATTTTTTCTTAATGGTCGGCCGTGTTGCATGAAAATAGGTTGAAAGCAGTAGTCATGAACCGCAATTTGAAAGAAGTTAAAAGGACAAGGGAAGAGTATTTTTCCATAGAATAATATTTGAGGTTTTTACAAATCAGAATAACTAAAGTACAATAACCTTACTGAAAATGTATGTAACTCAAGAGTTACTGAGATGCAACACACTATCGCATCGACTGTGCAGATCACTGAAAACGATTCTACCTCCGAGATGATTGGAGGCATGCAAACAGCTCCGCTGAAAGCGTCTGCACCGACAAAAAAGCGAAAAATCCTCATCTCAGGATAATTAAATCGATGCAATTCCCTCAAGCTTCTTAACATAATTAAACATCCCCTCAAAGAATTCAAAAGCCGAATTTATCTGCTCTCGTTCAATCAGAATCCTCATGCGTCCGTTCAAAACCCATCGAAACCCACTATCTCTCCTTCGCACTCAACACTAACGAGAAACATCGGAAAACATCCATGCAAGAGCTAGAAGAGGGTTGAAAGTCAGCTGAAAGTGGCGAGGTACTGCAGGTGAGGGCGTTGTCAGGACGACCCAACCCTCATCGTTCCCCCAAGACCCCCAGGTGCAGCCTACTCACCTCCCATCCAGCTTCAAAGACATTTTTTTCCCTCCCCACAAACGCATTTTCGTCCCCCAACTCTGTTATCCCAGCAATTTCTCCTCATTCATCACAAAATGAGATAAAAGTGTATTGCGGTGTCATCATTATTCATACTAACCCGCTATTTTTTGTAATTACAGGTTGATCTGAAGCCACTGAGAGAGCCCGCAATAGCCGTCTCATCCCCCAAAATCTCGGAGAAGCGAAAAGCAGAGGAGGCGGACGCCAGCAAGGATCTAAAGAAGGTAAAGAGTCACTAATTGGGACATATTCAAATTTTCCAACTCGAGTGGAGTACCTGGAGTAGGCCTGATTCAGAGTCAGGCGGATCTGTTAGTAGTGAGGCTGTCTGATGAGACATCACAGATGTAGTCATTAGTCAGATCCGGAGGAGAGCATTCCAATCCTTTAAACTAAGTAAATTTTGATCGTGCTCCGATCTTAAAGCCTCACCTCATCACTCCCTATCACATAACTACTCGAAAGGATCGAAAATAACTTCAGAAACCTGATCAATCCTACAACGATCTAATTAAAGTCTAATCAGAATACTCGATCTGGGCTAAATGACGGCGACTGAGATCTGCCTCGGACGAGAATTAACAAGCGTTCCATCCTTGATCCAGGCTTGGCCGAAGATCAGGTTTCCTGTAGTTCTCACTCCAGCATCATTAATCTTCCCACCCAGGTTCCTCTGGCTCATATATCAAGCTTCACTCATTGTCTCGCTGGAGCTTCACACTAGGACTGGAATAGAGAGCATCGTAATCCTAAGAGACGCGATGCATTCCACTCATATGTTCCATATCGTCGGATACCCTCACTCCATCAAACCTTATCATCAAGAACCTTACAGTTCTAGATCCATCATAATGTCTTCAGCTTGATCAATCTCTATTAATATCCTGTTGGAGTAGGAATAAATACTGCTTTCGATGACAGACGAATCAGAGTGCTCCCACTGGACTGAATGGTGGTAATTTGTTTTTACGTAATTTTTCATTTTTGATCTTGTTTTTTCCGGAGATCAGGTTTCTTACATTACGCACTTATTCTAGGATTAGTCTTCTTAGTTTTCTCTCACTCGTATGTAAATCTTCCGTGATTGTTACAACTTCATACGAAGACCAGGACAAATAGAATCAGAATCCTGCGAGATACAATTAATCTTAATCATATGGGAATCTGTTCCATCAAACTTGATCAAAACCACGTAAACATTGGAGACCCGGCATATATCCATGAGCTTTGTCAATTCCTATACTAGCACAGTTGAATCTGGTACAAATACTTGACCATCATTCCTGGTTATATCCATCGCTGTCTAGCAAGACTGCAAAGGAACACTAAAAGGCATAAAACTTCAGTGAAGATCGACAGATATGGTTGCAAATGACCATCAATATTCAAGAAGTGAGAGGTTATCAATTTTTAGATTGGCAACCCTTTCCAATTGCAAGAGATTCAGACTGGGGTTATAGGCTAGTAACTCAGTTCTGCTCCGAACCAGAATTATCAAGCGTTCCAGTGGTAAAAGCCTGCTAGAATATCAGGTTCCCCGGATGCATCAGTGACTCCTCATTACCGTTCCCACTTGGTTTCCCTCACCAAAATGTATATTTTCAGTGACTACATCATCGCTGAGCCATAGTTATTCAATACGATCATCATCAGTTCTTAAAACATTTCGAGAAAGCATGTGGGGTCATTACCATGGCTCGCTGAAGAGGTTGTCAAGAGGTTATCAACTTACATTGAAACCCATTTTCGATTGCAATCGAACCTGGACGCTCAATTGGGACAAGACAATGACATTAAAATCCACTCCTTATTTGAATTAGCAAGCATTCCCTTTCTGATCCACGTCGAATGATCAACTTTCCTGGAGGCCACTGAAAAAACTAGGGTCTTCAAGACGTCTTTATTTAAGACATCAGGCACGTGTCTTATGGGTTGACTTAGTGATGACCAAAATTTCGAATGTACTAAAATAAAACTTTTTTGATTTAAAAACAAGACGATTGATAGACAAGACATTTTCACGTCTTGCAATACAAGTCACCAAATTGAAAACATTTGTCTCAATTCAAGCGACTTACGGACTATTCAATCACTAGTCATTTATAACTGCGGTCCTACGACAAGATATTAACTGCATTAAGACATGGAATAATAACGTTTCTTTGGATGGATAACATTTCTTCATGTAAATTATTGATTTTCTTTCAATTTATTAGAGTTCTGAATTCATTTCGAGGGTGGGAGATGTCAAATGAAGTATTATTACTGAAGTATGATTCTAAAGAAACATTTCTTATCAGTATTTTTCATTAAAAAAATTCCTTTACCGTCATTTTTCTAATTCTCTTCAAATTCCACATCATGACCGCTATGTTTAGCATAATCAAGATTATCAGTAAAAAAGGATTGGCCCTTTTCGGGAAACCATGTCGACTATTGAGAAGGAATGAATGAAATATTTGGCAAATCAAACGCGACATAAGTTTGAAATAAAAGCTCTTCGAGTAAGACACCTATAGAATGTGTAGAATGCGTCGCTTAATATCTTAGTTTGAGACACTAAAATTGACTCAAATCTGGGGCCACAAACGTCTTGAAAAATAGGAAAAAAGCGTCTCAATTTCAAACGCTAGTTTTCCTACTGGCACTCACTGATTTTAGTCTCAGAATTATTTCCTCACGACTCCCCTCTCCCAATATGTACGTTCTCACTCATTAAATCATCGTTGAACAATACGTTTCCAATCCGATCACCATCTGCTCCAAAAACATCCCCGAAAAATCAGTTCCCCTTTGTATCAACACTTTTCCATCCCCTAAGTGGGTTTTGCCGCACGCGAAAAACCGACATTGGAACAACAAAACTCAGAGGACGAACACATGTGTCTGCTGTGAGAGAGAAAAAACCGAGAAACCTGTCTCTGTCACACGTCAGCCATCCATCTCCACCCGCCCATCGCCTCGCATTCCCTCGTATATTTTTGTCCCGTCGATATTTGACGCTGGTTTCGGTGTACCACGTCGTTAGACCTCTGCCTCGGATTGCACAAAGATGTTAAACAAATATATGTCTTCCCTGGGGGAAAAAGCGGTGAGAGGAGGCACCACTGGGCCAGAGCTCACTCATCATGGTCGCCTGTCTTCACTCGTGTATTCTTCCATTATATAACCTTTCTGTCGTTTCTTCTCTCTCTCTTCGATCATTCCTTGCTCGTCGTCAGAGCAAGACAGATGTCTTGTTGCTCCAAATCACTCTGGCAGAGGAGTCCCTTTCGTTTCCATTTGTCAATGTCAATATGTGATTGTTCGTTATTTTGGTTTATTCAGATTTCAGCCCGAGAGTCGACTGGAAAAAGTTTATTTCTGAAATGCAATCATCTAACACTTTCGATATCGCGGCCATTTCTTGTTGTGTGGAATAGGTTCGTGAACGGGGAGAAGTTCTTTAGAAAAATTGTAGTGTTGGTACTGAAAAAAAAACGTAAAAGAAAGTTTTGTTGCGTAGCAACGAGGGGTGTAAGTTTGGCTGGTTAAAAGGTTTTTTGCCAAATTTGCTCCACTCGGTGATATGCAGGAAAACTTGAGGAAAATTTTGGACAATTTTGAAGCACGAGGGGCATTCCACTGGATTATTCCCCCATCTAAATTGCCAACCAATAGGAATGCAGTATTTGACGTTTTTTGCGGGATAAACAACGATATTTTTATTCAATTTCAAAGTATTGCTGAAGAAAATGAGGAATGAGAGAGGGAAAATTATTTTTTCATCGATAAATTTGAGCAATTGAAAGTACAATTATTGCAAATGAATGTGGTATGATCCGAGGAAGTAACGTTAGCAGTGTTTTGAGGGATGAGGCTGGAAGATGTCGAAGGCGGTGACTGTTCATCGGAAATGCATGGTCCATCCATTGTCATTTTTTTTAGTAGAGAGCCGTGATGTTCAGCATCCAGTTGCAAGTTGTTAAAAAAATTACGTTCTGACGTTCTCACACTTTACCGTATTATTTGGTACACCTTTCTTTATATTTTGGTCAATAATATCCAGAGAATCTCCTCGAAATCTATCCATTGTGACATTTGAGTTTCGTCCATGTGAACTTGAATACATTACTACTAACTTCACTCGGGTTATCCTTTGATTATCGCTAATTTTGGTTACCATGCAACGGATTGGGAATTACCGAAAAATTATTGAAATACTCCTACCCCCATTTCAGCGCAAACCGTCAAAGACTGCATTTTTATGCAGTGACAATTCAGTTAGGGGGAATAATTAGTTATAATACCACGAGAGCTTCAAAATGATCGGGTAATTCCCGATAGGTCCATTGCAAACAAATGAGAGTGTCAAGTTTTTCATGCAAAACGTGACACGCTCGTTTGTATGCAGAGAAGCCTGAGGAAAATATCGGATTAATTTTAAAGCTCAAGTGGTATTCGGCGGACTATTTCCTTCTTCAGAATTTCGACCAATAGAATTGTTTGCGAATATTTTCTTAGTTTCCCTTGGGTATAACTGAAAATTATCGAAATAATACCATGTTATTCCCCGGAGTGCAACGATTCTATTGGTCGAGATTCTGAAGGAGGATATAGTCAGTAGTAATACCCCAAGAGCTTCAAAATTATCGGGTATTTCCCGATAGCCTCGGTGCAAACAAATGAGGATGTCAAGTTTTGCAGGTTAAAGAATCCCGAGCGCTTGCGCGAGTAATTTTTCTACAAAACTTGGCATGATGGTTTTTTTGCAGGGGAGCTTGAGGGAAATACCCGATTAATTTTGAATCTTGAGGGGTATTTATCGGATTATTTTTCCCAATCGGATTTTGGCCAAGCAAAGTGCAGTGGACACCCGAGTCAAATAATTGGACCTGACAAGTTCTATTTAGGTTTTTCCGTTCAGAACTGGATAGGTCTTGGGAAGCCGCTTCCCAAATGCATCCGAGCCCTTTCTACCTCTAGTTACATCTCATTTCAGCACTTGTTAGGTGTAAGCAGGACTTGTATTCAGATTTTCCAAATCCTTGCCGGTCCCCGTAATTCTATGGGTCTATATTAAGTCTGGGTTCATATCCCTGTTTACTCAAGCGTTATTGAATTAAAAAATGCAATTATTGTTTTTTTTTTAATCTCGAAAATCGACATTTCACGAGAGGATGGAGGGGAGATGCATGTATGTGGAGGCTTGACATTTTTACCCAATAAGGGGAGAAGGTTGCAG